ATTGAGTTAGGAATTTGTCCTTCAAGACGACCTGACCCCCATAAGAATCCAAATCCAGGATAGTATATTTAATAAGGGTCTCTTGGAGCTGTTCTAGGAAGGCAGTAGGATTTTCTCCAGGCTCCTGGCTAATGGCCATACCTTAGAATAACTAATGACCTTCTGCCATCCTGCCTCAACACTGGCCTTCATGCATATTAGGAAATGGTCCCTTTTCCATCTTTGGCTAGTATTATGGTAATCTCAACCAGGATCTACAGGAGGCACAGCAATTTCCCCTGTGGGATACTTAGTGTTGGATAGATGGAGGCTATTGGCATACTTTCTAGCCTCCTTTAAAACCCTTTCGTGTTCAGTATCTGAAAGAGATTGATTTATTATTATCATGACATCCTTCAAAATTAGGTCATAAGCCAAAGTAAAGTTTCGAAAAGCATCAATGGACCCATTGGGATTACCAAATAACTCCCAAGATCGATCTTAATTCTGTAAGTGAGAAAGGCTTATGAATGAGCTGAGGACCAAATTCCCCCAGCTGTCTCCACCAGGAGGCAAACCTTCGAAGGTGGCAATAAAGGTGGCCCTGGCATAAGGGCATGCTGACGGGATAATGGAAATAAGTGTTAATGATAAAGAAGGAAATTTGTGTTTGGAATAGAAATTGTTACTTTCTATTAGTAATGAAAACAATTGGACATAAGGTATTTCTGAGGTTTTCCCATATTGTCGACAAAAGATATTAAGTTGATTTATAGTGTCCTGGTCAATAGTCCCATCTGCTGGCCATGACCCTTTATCAAGTCGATATTATGGCTAAAATACTTTACAAAGGTAAATAAATTTTGGATTTTTTTTTTATATTTTGGTGGGAGGAGGGTTAAGTTGATTCCAATTGCTTATATCACAAAGGATCCCAGGGGAATTAGAGGTTTTTCTGTTTTAAATTGTAAACACCCAATCCAACAAGGAAAACCTGAAAATTAGAGAGCCCAGCCTCCTGGGGTCTTGATTCTGAAGACTGGCGCCCCAGAACTTTAAGGTCCAGAGATAGATGTCTCTACCATCTGGAAAAAATGGGTGGACAGTAGTGAGGCCCATATTATCCACCAATGACTTGCTGGATGGAGAGGATAGTGTCTCCATTGAATGTTGATTGGGTAAATTCTGATTAAGCATTCCTGTTAAGAGGTTTGTTCGTGACCAAAGGCTGGGTCAAACAGACAACATTGGTGAAGAAAAGAAGGGAGTAAAGGTAAAATAATAGTTTTCTCTGATCCGAGTCACGGCACTAAAAGATGCTACTGGAATTTTGGTGATTCCTCGGTCCCTTTCGCCAGTGCAGTGAAGAATCATAGATCAGGGAAATGAAAACAAAGCAAGGCAAAGTTTATTGAAGTATGTTCCAAGAGAGGAATGGGCCAAGTCAAGGGAGACAATAGTCTCAAGTTAATTTTTGGGTTGAAGAGTATATTTGACTAGATTTTGGGTGGTCCTGAGGTGTGTCATTGTGGCAGGTATTTCTATGTCACTTGATTGGCACTTGTGGGTTATGTGACTGTTTTCCTTCTGTGCATGTTCTTATCCACAAGGCATGCAGAAAAACCCACTGTGGGTGGGGGTCAAACACCGCAATGCTAATTTTATTATAATGAGGCAAAGGTCAGTGTGAGTGCGGACTGCTACAGGCTGCCCAGGTGCTAGAAACCAAATTAATCTGACTTGACTCCAGTTCCAGTTCCTACAAAATAGGGGGGGGGAGGTTGGAAAGTTCCAGGGTGGTCCTTGGGTGGAGTTAGAACATCCACAGAGCCATCGCCCAGCCCTCTATTGCTCATGTCTGTCTTCCTACCTCAGTGTCACCATCAATCATGGCAGAGAGGAGAAAAAAGATTTGAGGAATGGGTAAAATCATAAAGTCAGTTTTGGGCATATTGAATTTGAGGTGCCTTGCGAGAGGTGCACTTTAGGCAGTTGGATGTATGGGTTATAGTGCAGGTTGTGGTACTGTATAAGTGAATGACTGTGCACTAATATCTAAACCTTCTTGTACCTCATTACATTTGCAAAATGAGAGTGTTGTACTAGATAATAATAGATAACAGATAAATTGACTAATAAAGTTGGTGAATTCACTGAAGTTTTAGGGCTGAAAGGCATCTTTTTATATGTTTTGTACAATATGAGGGTACTTCAAAAGTTTATGGAATTCATATTATCTTTTTTTTTTTTTTCCTTTTCGTCTTTTTTCGTGACCGGCAACCGATCGCAACCCTCAGTGTCGCGCCCGTACCGGACCGGGACCGGCCACGGGATTGCAACCCTCAGTGTTGCTCCCTCCTTTTCGTCTTTTTTCGTGACCGGCAACCGATTGCAACCCTCAGTGTCGCGCCCGTACCGGACCGGGACCGGCCACGGGATTGCAACCCTCAGTGTTGCTCCCGCACCTCGCTCAGCCAGTGAGCGGGAACCGGTCTGTATGTGGGATCCGAACCCTCGGCGGGAGCGCCGCAGCGCTTCCCAAGCGGCGCACTGTAGCAGTGCGCCACCGGGCCGGCCCCCATATTATCTTTTAATTCTATTTTTCTGCAAACTTTTTGAAGTACCTTCATATATTTATTATATATCACATATTGTACATTAAATCTATAATTACTATATATTAATATTATATATTTATTATATATATTAAATAATTGTATAATAGATAACATGCCTCTAAGCCCTAAAACTTCAGTGAATTCACTAAACTTTTATCAGCCATCTTATTATTTATTTGGTTTGGATCTCCATTTTCTTCTTAGAACTCTGGAGTATGATGCTATCTGTTAACATTTTACTTTGATATTTTAAGAAGAACTATTAGCTAGCTAGGAGCTAATGAATTTACACAACTTTGTTTTCTCTTAAATTTAAGAAACAGTGAAACGCTGGTTTCCTCTACCAATGAAAGACATAAATTTAGCTTGCGAGCCTTTCTTGGGCAGAATACAAAAATTAAAAAATATGTATATTATACTGCTGAAAATTTCTTCTCCATGAATTCTTTCCCTCATAGATTTAGAGAAGTTGGAGACATTAGTCCTGTAACAGGATAAAGGAGGTAGGAAAATATGGAGGGCACAAAATAGGCCTTTATGTTTTGACAAGTAAAATCTGTAAGATCTTATGTGTGTATCACAGTACAGTTTAAAAAGAAAAACAAAATGCACATTTAAATTGGTATCTTACAATTTGGCAATACAAAATTAAAGCGATGAAAACGTAAGTTAAGCAGGTTTCCCTAAATCTTATCATCCAGAGATAATTATCTCGATCACTTCAATATTGGAAATTCTCAAATCCTTCCTGTCCTCCTTGATTCCTAATGCACATAGGCTCTTGGTTACTATAAATTATTTCCAGGTTAGCAGAACTAGCAATTTTAAGTCTGAGGGAAGAAGGGACACGAGTCTTATCATTCTAACACGTTTAAGAAATAGCCCTGATAATAAACACAACTCTGGTTTCAATGACAGGTTTTGTGGAATAACTCACATGGATGGCTCACCATTCAGAAAACAAAAAAAGTACAGTATACAAAAGACTTATTTGAGAGCATTGTTTCTATTGCCTCAAGGTGAAGTACCCCAGCTTTGGTGAAAATGCCACCAACTGAGTAAAATGAACAATACCACACATTGGATTGTATGTTTTTAGTGTTTCCCATTGATTCAGCTCACAATCGACATAGCTTGATATCTGAAAGATTACAATTTTATTCTCCTAATTATAAAGATTTCCCCTTACCGCTGTGTATAGCATTCCACAACTTAGTGAGATAGATGAATAGGAGGCCCAGAAATGAAACAATAGGGAGTGGGAATTAAGAAATTATTCCAGCTTCGGATAATAAATAGAATTTCACTTTAACAGAGTAATTTAATTATTCTAGTAGTACATCTGTAATCCCTGTAACAGAAAAGCAAAACTGCATTGGGACTAAAAGCATGGGCTTTGGAGTCAGAATTTGGTTCAAATCCTGGTGTCTCTTATGTGATCTTGGGAACAGTTTTTAATCTCTTGAAGCATATATCTCCTCCTTAGTAAAATGAGGAGGATAATATTTGCATTACAGGGTTATCTGAAGATTAAAAGTTACCATGTATAAAATATATTAAATAACAAAAATAAAAACAAATGAAAACATTCCAACTGCGATTTTGTTATACTTTTACTATGAATGCATTTTTTTGAACCATCATTTCAAGGATCTCCCTAAAACTGCAAATCTGAGTAGTTAATTTTAAAGTAATTGACTCCAGCTTTCCACTGGTAGTATTAATACCGGTATTTTTTCTTTAAGGAGCACTGTCTGTATGACATTATATAGATGGCCAAGCAGGAAACCTAGTTTCAATTTTTCTGACATAAAAACTATTCTACTTACTTGTGGGTATTAACTTGATATGAAGAATATTAAGCAAATTTCTGAAAACCTATAAATAAGCATGAGACTACATTTAATAATTCATGGTAAAGGTATTTTTGGTTTTCAGATAAATACATCTGTAACATAGTAATCCAAAAGTTACTCATGTTTACACTGATTTTTGAGTAGAAAACTGTCCTAATAATTTTTCATTTGGATTATTATTTTCATATATATTGCAAGTTAAGTGAAACTGTGAAACTGACTAGAACACACAAAAATCAGTAGTAGTCTTGGGTTAAACATCTGCCACATATTTAAGGTGGCTAATCCAGACTTAGCTGCAACATGGTCCCAAGCCAGTTAATATAATTTATTAGATAACAGACTAAGAAAAATCTAGATACAATCAAGGAAAAATGTCAATAAGATGAACTACATGTGAACTTTCATTTAAAAATATATACCTTTAAAGAATGGAACTAAAAAAATTATAATCAAAAGCTTCCATTTTCACTGTTACTTTCTCTTTTAGTAATTATTATCTCTTATGTGATAATTTGCCATGCTCTAGAAGAGTAAGAAAAAGTCCTTTTATATTTCATGATAGATTTAATCAGGTAATTCAAGGGAGGAGGGGAACCATTAAAACAAATTCTTTTATCATCTGATATGTCCAATTACATGGGTATAATGTAACAAAAACAATTACAAACTTATATATGCATATTTACATTATATACTCAAAACTAGCTAGTCAACTATATCTGAGGAGATACATTATGACATGAGTTAAACAATTTTTCATTGCTTATTAGAAAGAATGCAGTCAAGCTTTTAATGGAAATAATATACATGTGAGGCACTTTTGAGGTCAACAGAAAGCAAATGACACTACACACTGGAAATGTTCACAAAAATCTATGTGTATCTCTAATACAAAGGTTTTTCAACTAGATTATTCTTGAAAAATTTCAAAACTAACAACTTATGCAATTTAAGAAGCTTTCAGGAACAATGACTAACATTTATCAGTGTACCAAAGAATATGAAAGTTTTATAACCACCTGGCTGCTAGGCAAACAATACCTAAATACCTTAAAGCCCTTTTTTTTTTTTTTTTTTTTTGTTTATATAAATCACCTCAGGTTGTTTCTTTAAAACAAAAAAATCATTTTTTTACATTTGACTCTGCAAAACACCTTATGATGCTATTATTATCATGATTTATAGGTTAATTTTTGTTTTTCTTAGTGCAACAATAATGCAAGTTTCTACTACATTCCCTTATACTTAGGAATGTGATCATGGAAGTCAAATCAAGAATGAGAATAATATCTAGTAAAGAATCTGTGTTTTTCAGGTAACTATGTTTTAAAATTTTTATGTAGAAAAATGTTATATTTGCTTAATGCACCTTTGGGCTCTAATTAGAAACCCACTCTTAAACACAGATTTCCAAGTGTAATTACAAAACTTAAAGTAAATTTCAACAAAAGAAACATCTTAAAATTCTTTACATTGCCTGTCTAGAGGAAAATACATGTTTCCTGTAATCTGGAGACTTACATGGATGTTAAGAAACATCTCTGTGCCATTCAATTAAAGGGGAAGGGGGAAAGAAAAAGAAAAGTAAAAGCAAGACTTACCCAAGATATCAGATGGCACTATACACATGAATTGAAAGTGCATTTGTATTACCTCAAAAGCTCATTTTAGGCACTGCTGAATTGAAAATAGGTAGTTTCAAGTTTTTCCCTTTAAATTTTAACCCCTGCCCCCTCATCAACTCAGAAACATACACACACAATCTCTCTGAAGTTGTCATGATAAAATACAGGTGATTTTGTTAATTTTTTTTCAAAAAAAATTGCCCCCGACTAGCAATGGGAGGAAAAACAAGAATACCATTATGGTAATGGCTTTTGCAAGTTGAAGGAACTGGTTCTATAAATGCCTCAGCACATCCATTAAGTTTGACTGCCAGTTCCAAATATCAATAAATATTTTAAAACAGGATATGTAAGAGAAAAGTGCTTAAAATCTTTCAGCAACCAGCAAGATGCATTAGGGAAAAGGATCATTTTATAGTCCCTTTGAGATATTTCTTACTCCTAGTTTCCCCATAGGAGGTAGCCACCACTTAAATAGCCCTTTACTGGTAGTAATGATGAAACCCTGTCAGATCCCTATTGCCATCTCACATCTCTAGTCTGGAAATTGTCCAGTAGATGGTGCTGAAGTTCCACACCTCATATTTCTTCAGAAATCAAAATGACTTCCCTGTGAAGCCAGGAGAAATGTCATTTAAGAATTAATTCTGAACAAAACAAGCTCATCAGACCAAAGTGTTTCTTGCTATGCCATCTAGATGATTTCATTTTCAATATTTACTACTACTTAAGCAGTTTTGTTGAGCCATTTGCTTATACTATTAGATTAAAAACAAAGAGAAAAGTTTTAGATGAAGAGCCAATTGGCAGTGCCAAATGTGGATACAGAATGAGAAAATGTTCCTGAATGTACCTATACACATGTCTAAGAATCATAGATTTAAACTACCCATTTGTATTCACAAAGGAATTCTAATCTACTCAAGAGAAAATCTCCACATAGGAATTCAGATAACATTATATTATCAGTTAGTCTTTTAAAACTGATATGGAAACTGGGTGTGTTAACTCTAAAGATCCAAGGTGAAATAAAAAACCATTTCATCACCATAGTTTTTAATGAAGAAATCTGTTTAAAACTGTAAAGGAAAAAATGGGGATGGGATGGCAAAATCTTAGCAGCAAAGTGGTTAAACAAATTGAAAATATTAATGCACAAACATTAAAATATTAAAGCATATATGTTGCATATAAAATACAGTACAGAACCAGGAGTTGCACTATACTGATTAGTGCTTAACAGAAGAAATGATTAAATTTGTTCTTCCCGGAAGTATATACAGTTCATTTCCACAGCATTTTCCTATATAGCCAGCAAGTCATTTTCTTCAGTTAGTCACACCTTGCTCAAACCTGAATTATAAATTCAGCACTTACAAATATGAAAATTCACAAGGAAAACAAATTATTTCCATTTCACCAATAAAAGGTAAGTTTGAAAGTTAACAGTCTATTCTAGGAAACCAAGTTTAGTTGAAAACTTCAGGGATGAAGATCATCTGGTGTAGAGCAGCGTCCAAATATATAAACAGTAAAAATAAGACTTAAAACTGCTGCTACAGTGTCATGTTTTGGATTTAGTTCATCCAATTGATTTTTAGTACAAAACTAGAAATAACCTCTTCTTCATAACATCTATAGTTATCAATATATTTTTCTTCTTTTCAATGTGAAATAATACTTCAAGATGATCTATATACACAATGTTGTCAGTTCAAGCTGTCATATAAATATAAATGCTTTCTTAAAAAAAAAGTATTTTACAGACAGATAGTGTTATATACATTTGTTTGATCTGGGGCAAAAGAAGAAAGCTAACACAAGCTTAAGTGTGATATGTAAAAAGAATACATAAATGACATTTAAAAACCTGCATAGAAAATGAGCTTCAAATGGTAGTGTGGTTTTCATTTTTATCACCTCTGAAACTAAAAAAAGGCACACTTTTTAACTTTATCCCTCTAAGAAAATGATCTTAAAGAATCCCTCTCCTGGTTAGAGTTTCAATGTCACACCTTAAAAAAAAAAAAACCAAAACAATTTGACTGCAAGGTACTTTAAACAGTTTGTTGGAACATTTATCCAACTACTTTGTAAATTAAACATCCAGTAATACAATGCTCTGAAAAGAAATAAATTTATATGCACAAGATATTTCATTCACGATGTTGGACTAAATATTTTCCTGGGATAGTTTAGCACACATTTTAACAAAATAATTTTGCTTTTGGACAGTTTAAACAAAAATAAATGCAACTGAGAAAAGTTATCATTGTTATGTGAATAATAAGCACTGAGGATTAAGCTAAAAAATTACTAACACAGCTGAACATATTCTGGTTTTGTAGAATGATAAATGAAGATCTCAAGAGGAAACTGTTTTACACTAACTATCCAGTTACACTTTTGCCTTGTAAAACATTTGTAAATGCGGTAAAATTTTTTGAAGGAGGAAGCTCTGAAAGAAAACAACTTGCTGGTTGAATACCACAAAAAACAAAACAACTAAATTTTTTCTGTAATGTTTACTCATTCTTTTTATATAAAAATAAGTGTTACGTTCCCATTAGAACATTAGACAATTATATCTGTGCTTTAAAAAAAAGTTGGTCACTCAAGGCTATTAGAATATTTTAAAGGATTTTAAGATTACCAGAATGTACAGATATAACTCAATATAAATGGTAGCCAAAGAGAAATGAGGATGAAAATATCAAATCATTCACATGGAATAAAAACATTAACTAGATGAGTTAAATATTCAAAATATATGGAATGTGACAGTAGATACATGTATATCTACTTCAGAACTAGGAAGGAGAAGAAAAGTTTAATACATAATAATTCGTACCTTACATTTAGTTAAATATAAACATTTGTTATTTATACATAAAATTGCTTTCAAAAAACAACTAATAAATGATTTAGTTGCACTTGTTTTACATCTTATAATTCCCAAGTGTTAACTTTTCTTAGATTGAAATGTACTGTCCCCTAGTGCACTTTTAATTTTAGTTCATGTCCTAATGAATTCAAACTTTCAAAAGTCCCATCACCTAATACATAAATATACAAAAAATGCCAAAAATTAATCCCTTTTAGTTGGATCATATTTTATGCTGACTTTTTATAGCCAACAACCAGAAATGGTTTCCTTCTGCAAATACTCTACAACCTGTAATAAACATGCCATGCACTCAAGGGAAAAAGTTAGGCATGGCTAGCATTTGTGAAATGCCAAGAATTGACAAGTTCTGCTTCCTCCACGTGTGGCCCCAATACCAGGCAAGATTTCATGTTGCTTGCCAAAAGCTTCCACAAATCCAAGTTAGCTAATTCTTGGAAACAAAGATTTTAAGCTCATTTTGGCACTGGATCATTTCATCCAGCAGCTTTATGTTTCCCACCACAGCACCCACATGCCTCACCACAGCGATGGCACATTCTCAAAGGGACGTAGCAGCACATACATGGTACAATGAAAGACAAAGCTACCAGGGCTAACCATCGTAAGCAGAACTTGTCATCGCTAGTGTCACATGAACAAGGATCAGAAAAATCTCCCTCTGAGTCTGACATACAATGATACAACATGCTCTCTGCGCAGAGCATACAACTAACTTGATATATGCATCTTTTAATAGGGTCTGGAGCATCCTGACATTTTCCCCTGCCATTTTCTTCATGATTAAACCTTTCCTGGCAGTATACACAGCGAGAACGTTCACCATCCTCTTTTCTTCGTTTTGACTTCTTAAATTTTAACGAGGAAGGCTGTGTCTTAAATACCACAGAGTCTTTGAGTGAACTTAACTTAGTCTCGTCCCCAAAAGAGTACAGATAGTCTGATTTTTTACTGTCTGGTTTAGAAAAGTGAATACTGGCATCAGTATCATCTCTGTCCAAGTCATTTTTCCACATGTCAGGATGTCTGTAGTCTGCATAGCGACGTATTAAGATATCTCGAGGGTTTATTCTGACAATCTCATCCTCATCTTGAAAGCTGACATGTCTGATTGATTTCAAAGGGACCTAAAAAGGAAAGAGATAAAACTGCAGTAAAAACTATAATGGTTAATTTTGTGTGTTAACATGGTGAAGCCACAGTGCCCATATATTTGCTCCAACATTCTGATGTTTCTATGGTATGTTTTCTGGATGAGATCTACATTTCAATTGGTGGACTACGAGCAAAGCACAGTACCTTCCATGATGTGGATGGACCTCACTCAATCAGTTGAAGGCCTTAACAGAACAAAGAGTGGTCTCCCCCTGAGCAAGAAGGAATTCTGCCAGCAGGCTTGCCTTAAGACTCAGACTGTAACTCGTCCCTGGGTCTCCAGCCTGATGCCTGCCCTGCAAATTCTGGATTTGTACCTCCACTACTGTACGAACCAATTCCTTAAAATAAAACTCAACCTATCTTCCTATCTATACATCCTGTTAGTTCTGTTTCTCTGGAGAAGCCTGACCAATACCGATTTTGGTGCCAAGCAGTGGGGTGCCACTACAACAAATATCTAAAAGTGTGCTAGTAGCTTTGGAACTGGGTAATGTGTAGAAACAAAAAGAGTTTTGAGATACAGGTTAGAAAGCACCTTGAAGAGACATGGAAAAAGGTGCTTCTGACAAGGCCTCAAGTGGAAATGCAAAACATGTTATTAGACACTAAAAGAAAGGCAATCCTAGGTATAAAGTGACAAAAAACTTGGCTGAATTGTGTCCTAGTATTTTTTTAAAGGCAGATCTTGTGAGTGATAAACCTGGATATTTAGCAGAGGAGATTTCTAAGCAAAGTGTTGAGAGTATAGCGTAGCTTCTTTTTGCTGCTTACAATAAAATGTGAGCAGAGAGAGATAAACTGAAGAAACTGTTATGCAAAAGGAAACTAATTTAGAAAATTATCAGTCTATCCATACTGTAAAAAATGAGAAAGCATGTTCTGGAGAGAAGACCTAGGGTGTGGTTGGACAATCATATGATAAAGTGAAATGCTACTGACTTGGGCTGAAGGGGACAGAGGCAAGACAAATGAGGGAAGGCTGCTGGATTCTACTGCAGGATTCTACAGGATGAGCCAAGAGAGCTATGTGGCAGAATGACCCTGAAGGCAGGGCTGTTTCCTCCTCAGTTACAGAAGGTGGGGCCGACTCCTCAGTTTCAGTGGTCCTTGCTATAGTAGTCCAGGGCCTTAGAGGTGATGCTGACACCTCCAACCAAGGGAGTGGGGCCACCATCCCAGTGGGCCTGGAGGACAAAGGATCAAGCCAAAGAGCATTATTCTTGAGTCTTAAAATTAATGAAATTTTCTGTTAGGTTTGGAGTTGCATAAGACCCATGACACCTTTCCTCATTTCAATTTCTCACTTTTGGAATGAGAATGTTTATCCGTGCCTTTTCTACCACTGTATTTTGGAAACAATAACTTGTCTGGTTTACAAGTGCACAGCTGGAGAGAAATTTTGCCTCAAGATGATTCATACCTTGAGTATCACTAACATTTGATTGAGATGATAGTTAGATGAAATTTATAGGACTCTGAATTGATGCTGAAATGGGTGAAGACTTTGAAGTGACTGGGATGAGGATAAATGTATTTTGCATATAAGAAGGGCATAAATTTGGGGCCAGAGGGCAGAATGTACAGGCTGAATTGCATCCCCCTCAAATTCATGTTGAAGCTCTAAAACCTAGTACTTTGGAATGTCACTATACGTGGAGATAGGGCCTTTAAAGAGCCCTATGTTAAAATGAGGCCTTTAAGGTGGGACTTAATCCAATCTGACTGGCATCCTTTTAAGAAGAGGAAATTTAGATACACAGAAAAATATACCAGGGATGTGTGTGCAGAGGAAAGACCATGTGAGGACACAGTGAGAAGGTTGCCATCTACAAGCCAGGGAAAAAGCCTTCTGAAGAAACCAATCCTGCCAGCGCTTTGATCTTAGATGTCTAGCCTCCAGAACTGTGAGAAAATAAATTTCTATTGTTTAAGCCACCCAATCTGTGGGGTTTTGTTATGGCAGTTTTGGCAAACTAAGATAAGGAGATAGATGTTTACAGCTTAGCTATATGGAAAGTCTCTAAAAAGCGACTTAACACATACACACATGCACACTCTCTCTATTGCTTGCTCTCTAACCATTCTGGGTAGATTGGCTCTTTGATCTTTGAGATCAAGAAGCAAAATTAATCTTTTGACCATTCTAATCACCCATTAAGGCAGACTTCTAGTAGTCAAATTTATATCTCCTAGTTACAGTCCCTGAACACAGTGACTAGTCTACAAGTAAGTACCTGAGAGGCTGGGGCAAACTTCTACTCCCCAGATATTTGAAATTGGGGCTTAAAAAAATCCCAGATCTGGGATAAAAGTGAGGTAATGGATATAGTTCATTAAATTAACAATATACTATTCTTATTGTCCTATCTGGAATTGGCAATCCCCCAAACTCAAAGAGAAGTCTGGATAGAGTAACAGTGTTTATAAGCATATATGCAGCAAATTAACACTGTGAAAAATTTTTAAGTACAATTCAACTATGGGGAGAATTAGGAGGACTGGAAAATTTCACCTATATGCTAATTAGTTATGTTGCTTTGCCCCCCACTGATTTGTCCCCCCTCTTCCCCTGGGTGAAGGAGCCACAAAGGATTACTCAAAGCCCATCTCTTCTGAGCAGTGAGAAGCCCCAAAGTGGTTAATTTCCCAGAACCCTCTAGAGGCATTCCTTTCATTTGGGAAATTAGCCCTGAATTGGGGTTCTCTTCCTGCATTTATTCTCCAGCCCAGAAGTTACAGGAAGAGACATAGGTGGGGTTATAGTTCAACAATATAGGCTGGTAACTCTCAGTGAAACAAGCCAGATGACATTCCATAAGATCATTTAAGTGATCCACCAACAAAAGCTTGATCTCAGCAAACATTCCTTCCCCCTACAGCAGCTTCCCAGTAACTCTACATATCAATCAGTAACTAGTCTGTCTTTGAACCAGCAGCCTTGCTGTGTTACAACTTTTTATCTTACAACACATACCAAATAGCCTGAGGAAAATTTCCTGTTTTTGTAAGGTCGATATTTGAAACTGTAAGGCTTTGGAAAACCAGGCCCTGTGAGGTACATTTGCTTTATAGTATATTCCACAGTTATATTCCATAGAAGATAAACATTACTTACCCTATTTTGAGACTTTAGGCTTCCACATTCCTTAGATATTTGCCGCTGTACATATTCCATACTTCTGCTCTGAATGTCTAGGCCTGGCTGACCAAACGTTATCTAAAATACAAATAAGTGACAAAAGAATGAATTTCTTATTTTTAATGAAACCAAATTCAATGTACCTTCCAAAACTTCATAACTATTGGTAATAAAGTTTTTCAAAATGATTTTGATAAAAAACTTTGAGTCATTCCCCCTTAAAAAAACAAGAACAACAACTTAGAGTATATATGTAAAATTTAATTTAACAAGTAATAAATAGGCAAAAATATAGAAACAGCCCAAATATCCATCCACTAATGACTAGGTAAACAAAATGTGGTAGATCCATATAATTAATTATTACTCAACCATAAAAAGAAATAATTAGAGTATATATGTAAAATTTAATTTAACAAGTAATAAATAGGCAAAAATATAGAAACAGCCCAAATATCCATCCACTAATGAATAGGTAAACAAAATGTGGTAGATCCATATAATTAATTATTACTCAACCATAAAAAGAAATAAAGTGATGATACATGACACAATAGTGGTTGCCAGGGACTGGGGGACAGGAGAGTAGGGGCAATGACTGCTATTTGGTACGGGTTTTTTGAAGTGACAAAATGTTATGGAATTTGATAGTGATAATTGTTGCATAGTCTTACAAACAAATATACTAAAAACCACTGAATTGTATACTTTAAAAAGGTGACTTTATGGTATATAGGTCATATCTCAAAAAAAACCCAACATAGATACAGTTAGTGTTCTAACACATTCATTAGTTTTTTGAATTGCAAGGCCCATTTCAGAGCTAGATTATAGTTCAAATTTATCAATGTTTCATTTAAAAAAATTTTTTAATAAAAATTCAAACATACACAAAAGGAGAATAAGATAACAAATCCCCACATGTACATGTATCACCTAGCTTCAATAATTTTGGCAATCCTGTTTTTTTCCTTCATTATTTTTCTGGAGCTTTTTGATCCAAATCCCACTGTTACCCTTAATAAAACTATAACCTTGAAAATAAAAAGTAATACATGCACATGGCAAAATTTTTAAACAGTATAAAAGCACACACAGTAAAAATCTTCCTTCCATCTCAGACCGTCAGTCCCTGTCCTAGAAGTTAACTATCTTAAAAATTTTTAGTGTATTCTTCCAAAAATTTACATACACACACACACACATGCGCAAATATGTGAATCTTTAGAAGTTTTAAATACAAATGGGACCTTTTGTACAGTGCCTTGCTTTTTAAATTTAATAAATTAGTAAATTACGGATACCTTCTATGTTTATAAGTGGAATATATAAAAATTCAGGAATTAGGGAAACTATGGATTAAATGGTCTGGGAAGGTTTCATGAAGGAAATGGGACTTGAAGTAAATGCAGAATGAGTTAAGTATTTGGTCAAGTAAACAAAACAAAACAGAAGAGCATTATAGAAAAAAAGGAGAGAGGAAAAATTTTTTTCCTGATAGAATACAATAACCTCAAGTTATATATTAAATATATATTCCTGAGATCTATTTTAAAAGGTAAGAATATCCACTTTTTCACTTATTACCCCAATTTCACCTTCTCAGAAAAAAAGTCACACATACCACTCAAACACATACATACTTTGAAAACTATCCCAAGTCAATAGTCTACAAATATTAGTCCTCTAAGTGAAAAGACAAATGGACAATGTTGACTTTGCACATTTATTAAACACAGATGTTATAAGACACACCTCAATTAACTATGGCTTTTTAATACCCTGGGAATTTGGAGGTATTGCTATAGCCTTTAGGAGAATTTATCAGCTGAAAACAAACATGGGAGATGCTTCTTCAAAGTTGTTCGCAAACAAAATTTTAAAAGGATTCCGTTTACAATAGCAACAAAATGTTACAAAGGATTAAATCTTATAAAAGATGTACAATCTTTTCATGAAGAAAATGCAGTTTTATTGAAAGATATAGAAGAGCTAAATAGAGGGATATAACATATTCATGGATAAGACTAAGTTCTCCCCCAAACTAATATACAGATTCAGTGCTATTCAAATACAAATTACAAAAAGATTTTTCACCAAACTTGACAAGTTGATTCTAAATTTTGTGAAAGGGCAAATAGCCAAAAAAAGAACCAAGAAGAAAAATAAAGTAAGCAGACTTGCTCTACAGATATTAAGACTTATTCTAGAGTTACAGTAATTCTATAGTAACAAAGACAACATGGTGCGAGTGCAGGGATAGAAAAAACAACAGATCAAATTAGAGAGGCCATAAACAGACCCAACATATGGAAACGATATATGACAGATATGGCACTGCACATGGTGGGGGGGAGGGGAAGGCTCCAATAAATTATGCTAGAAAAATTAGTTTTTCTTTAGTTTTTTATGGAAAAAAATAAAATTGGATCCCTACCATAGAAAAGATATCTGAGATATCTGTTTAAAGTGGACTAAAGACAAAACTTTAGCATTTTTAGCACAAAATAAAGAGAAAATCTATGTGATAAAAGATAGGGAGGAGTTTGTAAAACCATCACCAAGAAAAGATTGATGAATACAATTTCATTAAAATTTTGAATGTCTGTTCACCAAAATATCATAAAGAAAGTGAAAAACAATCACAAACTCGGAGATACTGGCCACAAATAAAACTCAAAAAAGACCTGTACCCAGAATACACAGAAGTGGCACTGAAATCTTCATTACTTGGTAATGAGGTTACATAAGAGCATGTAGTTAAAATCAATTTGTAAAGGAACAATCAGGGCTATTTTTACAGTTTTTCAAATGCTCAATATATATTCCTTGCACATGTGGCACACATCAATCCTAAAGCCTACTTTCTCTCAAGCCTTTTGTAGCACATCAATATCAAAAGCTCACTTCTATACACCCTAAAAAAAAAAAACTTTGCACATGGATAGCTGTGGACAAGAAAGTTTGTATTAGTAGTATGCCTAATAACAACAAAAACCTGGAAACAACTGAAATATCCACTGGTAGAAGAAAAAAAGTGGTAGAACTATCAAGAAAAGCATGAGAATGCTAATAAGCAAATAAAATCCAAGGTAATGGTTCCTCTAAGATAAAAGCAAGAGAATAAATTGGGAGTGTTCCCTTTTTAAGTTTTTTGGTGTTTCTCAAGTGTTCAATTCATATATTCTTTTCTGTGTATTAAGTATGTCATAAATCTTTTATCATAAGCTCACTGATACACTATGTCTTATTCATCTCTAGTGAAAAGACCCTCAGGATCTTGAAAGTAAGAGAAATTGAGTAAAAGAGCTATAATGGTTTCCAGGCCTATTAAGACTTAACTAAAACCTGACTGAGTGTATTAGAGTTTTAAAACAATCTACCTATATATGCAAAGGATTTAAACAGCCCATAAAAACAGAAAATGAGTTAAAGACAAACATTGGCAGTGCCTATTTAAAGCATTACGACGGGAAAAACCTAAGCTAGCATTAGGTGACAATTCTTTGCGGGTCTCATTTCTGCAGATCTAGTGAGCACAGGCACTATCGGTCTTTTGTTTCAGACTATCTTTTCAAGGATGCTTGTATAATGAAACCCTTGAAAGACACAGTGTCTGCCCTTTCAAAAGAGGTCTGTTCAGTGTCTAGTATAACAAAGACAATGTCTCCTTCCACAGTAAAATTCAGGCAGACTTATTGCACATTATAAAAGACTAAGCTTCCCCAAGCTCAGGGTTCCAATGCAGTGATGCAAACCCACTAAATGTACAACATCTTCCTGAATATGACTCCCATGGGACTTGGGGACACAAGAGGAACCAATACAAACATGAAGCTCATGTTACACATTGTGCTCTGAGTAAAAAAGTCCTTTGTCTCTGACCTAGCAGTCTTATGTCTTCTGGAAGCATTCATAAAACTGGCAGGTTAACTTGCTAGCTTACAAGTAAGGTAAAATCTTCAACCATTCATAGTTCAATGAGGCAGTAGTCTAGTCCTTTTGGCAAGGTTGTTTCTCTGTTGTATTGCAGAAAAGGATCCATCAAGCTACTCCAGTTCAATGCAATGAAACATTCCAAGTATCTAATTACTCTGTTGAGCATTTACACTTACCAAGGTAGCTTTTAGTGATGATCTAGTATTTTATGAAGACCTAAATTATATAGAAAACGTGCTAAACAATAATCAAATTTTAGTCTCATCCAAGAATACTGAGGTCCACAATGATGAATTAATCAAGTTTGAATTTCTTTAACTTTCTGTCTCCTTCATAATAAATATGTAGCTCTACCTAAATTTCTCTTCTGCCTTGGAAGATGAAGTAATTCTACCTCTTCTCATGCAATTCCTCTGCCTGTGTCTTTGATAGTCTCTGTTGTGCTTTTGCTCTATCAATTATTTTCTCTGTCCTGAATCTTTAACTTTTCCACTTACTTCATTTCATAAACATATTCATTCCTTGATCCTGCACCTCTCTAGCTCTATGTACTCATAAGAAAGGCTTTTATAGTCAAGCTTCTAGAGAGAAGTGCATGGCAAAAATATTATCTTTGTTTTCTCTCCTGTCATACATGCCTCTATCTCACAGAAACTGTGGTAAGTTTACCAATTACCTTTGCAGAGATTAATTCAAATTTTATTCGAGCATTTTATTGTGATATATTAACTACTCTATCAACTCCTTTATTTTTTTATTTTTATTTATTTATTTATTTATTTTTTGTCTTTTTCGTGACCGGTAAGGGGATCACAACCCTTGGTGTGGTGTTGCCAGCACTGCGCTCAGCCAGTGCCACACTCTCCCAAGTGTGCCACGGGGCCGGCCCCTCCATCAACTCCTTTAAACTCTCCTCCCTAGGCTTCTGGGACATTATTCTTTCTGGATTCTCCTATCTATGTGACTGCTCTTTAACTCACTATTCTCAATATTTAGTGATCTCTAGGTTGTAATTTTGAACACTGCTCTTCTTATTTTAGATAATCTTTCCAAATAATTTTAATTACTTTCATAGTTTTAATTTCTATCCTTACATAATGATTCCCAAATTTTATCTCCAGTTCTAACTCTCCATTAGCCTCAAATCCAGAAATAATATTTAAAGACATATTGGTTGAGAAATTTCTAAATCTGTTCAAAGACATCAAGCCACAGATTCAAGAAGTTCTATAAGTCCAAAACAGGATATGTAACATAATACCTAGGAATAACATAATAAAATATCTGAAAACAAAAATAAGGACAATATTTCTTAATAGAAATGAGAGAAAATAGAAGACAATGGTATTAATCTTTTAAACTGATGGAAAAAAACTATAACAGAATTCAGTAATAAGCAAAACATACTTCAAAAATGGAAGAAATAAAAGATTTTTCAGGTCACCAATAGCAATAAAGAGCAAATAATCCTAGATGAAAGTATGGTAATAAACAATGGATATAAGAACATGAAATAATCATAAATAGGTAGGTCAAATCTCAATTAATATTGACTGTTTAAAATAATATTTTGAAAGGTTTTAAGATATGTATAAATTAAAGAGATATATATATATATGTATATATATATCACAGAGAAAGAGAGAAAATTAAAGTTCATAACAACAACCACACAGAAAGTAAAAAGATAGGTAAATGGAGTTAAGATACTGTAATCTGTGCATTGTCCCTGAAGTGAACAAAAAAGTATTAACTTAGGGCAGATTCTAAGGAGTCAAGGATGCATTTGTAATTACTATGATAAGCTCTTAAAAATACTGAACTGTACTAATCAGCTAATAAAGGGGAAAAAACAAGTAATTAAGTATATTTGAATAAGCAAAGTGAAAGGGAAAAGAGAACAGACAGCAAATGAGAAATGGAAATAGGATAGTAGATTTGTACCAGTAATTACAGTTAAAAAGTGTACAGAATACTCCAGTTAAAAGACAAAGACACTCTCGGAAAAGACAAAATTCACTATACATGGTTTAAAAGAGACACCATAAATAAAAGGTAACAGAAATGTTGAAAGTAAAAGGATGAAAAAACATACTCATACTCTACAAATGCTAACCAGAAGAAAACTGGAATAGCAGAGAAAGTAGACTTTTAGGCAAGAAGTATCACTAGAAGGAGGATATCGTAAAATGATAAAAGAGTGAATTCAACAAAAAGGCATGCTATACCCAAACTAAGAATACACATTCTTTTCAAATGCACATGAACACTGACCATATGGGGGGGGGTCATCAACGAAGTCTCAACAAACGTTAAAGAAATGAAATCATACTGAGTCAATTATTCTTTGACAGGATATTTGTAATAATAAAGAAAACTAGAAAATCCCAAATATTCAGAAATCAAACAATCCATTTCTGAATAATAATGAAAATGTGGCACCTCATCATTTTGCCAGTGCAGGTGTTGAAAGTAGTGTAGTATATGGTAGTTTGTTCCACTATTCATTCTATCTCTGGCATGTTAAATTTTCCATTAAAAATGGATAAGCAGGGCCGGTCCGGTGGCGCACTGCTACAGTGCGCCGCTTGGGAAGTGCGGCGGCGCTCCTGCTGAGGGTTCGGATCCCACATACAGACCGGCCGCTCACTGGCTGAGCGAGGTGCGGGAGCAACACCGAGGGTTGCGATCCCGTAGCCGGTCACAAAAAAATGACAAAAAGGAAAAAAAAAAAAAAAAAAATGGATAAGCAAGGGCCGAGCCCATGGCGTACTCGGGAGAGTGTGGCGCTGGAAGCGCAGCAGCGCTC